TGTAAGATTGGGGCTATTAGAAAAGGCATATGGGAAGATCACCCAGGGTTTATGTTGGAACAGGGTCAGATAATAAGAAGCATGTCTGAGAAAGAGAGCTATACATATTTGGGACTAGATCAAGCAAGGGTATCAAACACAAAGATATGAAAGAAGCTCTAAGCAAAGATTAACGAGTAGGGTCAAATCAATACTTAAGACTCATCTGTCCGCAATACACAAAGTAAGGGCCATTAACACATATGCTATTCCGACAATAACATATAGCTTCGGAATAATCAAGTGGACAGACTCTGACTTAGAGCAGCTAAACAGAAACATAAGAGTCTTATTTACAAATCATAGAGCAAGACATCCCAAGAGTTCGATCGAAAGATTCTACTTGCCAAGATCCAAAGGGGGACGAGGCGTGATTGACCTTAAAGCAGCTAACCTGCGGAATATAGAAAACCTCAGGAGATTCTTTATAGAAAGGGCGAAACATCTGCATATCACAGAAATATAGCTTCAGCTGACTACAAGTTCACACCACTGAACCTGTCGGATGAACAGTATGAACCTCTAACCCATGTGACCACCGACGAACAATGGTATCATCAATGGAAGTCCAAACAGCTTCATGGAAGACATCCAGCCATGCTCAGCTCAGATCACATTGATGCAGAAGCGTCACATGGATGGCTGAAGAGTGGGGAGCTATTTTCGGAAACTGAAGGTTTCATGATTGGCATTCAAGATCAGGTGATACCAACCTTAAATTATAGAAAATACATCATGAAAGAAGAAGGCATTGAAGATAGATGTCGTATATGCCATAACAAGTCGGAAACAATAGAGCATATCCTGACGAGCTGCACTCCCCTAGCTTCCACTGAGTATCTGAAGCGCCACGACAACGTGGCTAAAATAGTTCACCAAGAAATTTGTTATGCTGCGAACATACTAACTGACCGCACCCCATATTACAAGTACCAGCCGACTCCAGTTATAGAAACTAACAGCCATAAAATATACTGGAATAGAACAATTCAAACAGATCACACCATGGAATACAACAAACCAGATATCGTAGTTCAAGATAAAATGAAGCAAGTTACCTGCATAATTGACATTAGTGTGCCTGCCCCACATAACATAGCTGAGAAGCAGACAGAAAAGGTTCGCAAGTACTTACCACTAGCTGCAGAAGTAAAAACACTGTGGAATCAAGAAAAAGTTGAAGTCATCCCAATAGTGATCGGAGCCACAGGAGAAATACCTAAGAGTCTACATAAATATATTGAGAAACTAAATCTGCCGCAGAAACTATACCTCTCACTTCAGAAAGCTGCTATCTTAGGTAGTTGTCATATAGCACGCAAGGTCCTGAATGTAGCCACATAGACAAAGAGAAACCAATAGTCACACTCAGACGCTTGCAGTATATGCCGCGTTTGAGGATACCACCTGCAGTAGCAGAGAATAGCTAACAGAAAACGGAATAATAATAATAATAATAATAATAATAATAATAATAATAATAATAATAATAATAATAATAATAATAATAATAATATAATAATAATAATAATAATATAATAATAATAATAATAATAATAATAATAATAATAATAATAATAATAATAATAATAATATATAATAATGATAATAATAATAATAATAATAATAATAATAATAATAATAATAATAATAATAATATAATAATAATAATAATAATATAATAATAATAATAATATAATAATAATAATAATAATAATAATAATAATAAATAATAATATAATAATAATAATATAATAATAATAATAATAATAATAAATAATAAAAGCGATAAAAATTGTAAAGACACATTTACCCGAAATAGAAAATCAAGCGGTCGAGGATGAAGAAGAATTACTGTCTACAGATATTAAGGCATGACAAGGAAGACCTTGAAGGATAAATGGATACGAAAGCAGCTTCATGGTCAATACGTGAAGAGAATTAGAGGCCAGGGATTAATGAATGCCAAACGTTTGCGTGCTCACGAGAGGGAAGGTAAAAGGTGAAACAGAGGCCCTGATAACGGCCGCCCAAGACCAGGCCTTACGTACAAGGCATTATGAGAAACATATCCTCAAAATAACAGCAAATGATAGATGTCGAATGTGCAAACAATACTCAGAAACAATAGATCATCTTATATCCGGCTGTCCTCAACTGGCGAAGCACGAGTACTTGGTCCGACATAATAAAATATGCATATACTTGCATCATGCCATCTGTATAAGCTTTGGGATCGCAGTGGAAGAAAAATGGTATAATCACAACCCCACTCCAGTAGTTAGTAAAGATGAGATTACCATAATATATGACTTACCAGTACAAACAGATCGTGAGATATCCGCGAACCGCCCAGACATAATCGTCAAAAACCAACGTGACAAAACCTGCCTACTAATAGATGTTTCAGTCCCCAACGATGAAAACGTTGTAAACAAAGAAGCTGAAAAGAAATTGAAATACAAAGATCTCTCAATTGAAATCCAAAGAATGTGGAATCTGAGGACGAAGATAGTTCCCGTAATTTTAGGTGCATTAGGGACGATCCCAGACAATCTACATGAAAACCTAAATCTCATACCAGGAAGGCACAGGACAGCAGACGTGCAGGAGATTGCTTTGTATGGTACAGCAACCATATTACGTAAGACACTATAAGGTAATGGACTTCGTTAGGATGTGAGTAACATCTTCGAAGTACCATAATGAAAATGACCAACCAAAACCGGCCCACATGGACAGAACCAGTTGAATAGATAGGGCTGTGGAAAATAAACAAATAATAATAATAATAATAATAATAATAATAATAATAATAATAATAATAATAATAATAATAATAATAATAATAATAATAATAATAATAATAATAATAATAATAATAATAATAATAATAATAATAATAATAATAATAATAATAATAATAATAATAATAATAATAATATTACCCCCATGCGTTGAGGCGGCGTGTGGAGCTTCCTCTTAGCCTCCCGGGTGTTTGTGCCGTGCCCGGCGACCCGTAAGCTGGCCAATGGAATCCTGGTGGTTGAGCCCTACCAGTCAGGGGGGCAACACGCCACTTTGGTCCGGCGGTCAGTCTAGAAGGGCGGCCACGCCTAGCCCAGCGTTGGTCAATCGGCTGCGCCATCCCGTCAGAGGGCTGGCTGGGCGAGCCTCCACAGGTAGTAGAAGCCAGACGAGGATGGTTTGCTATCCTCGATGTATGGTGGAGCTATCTGTGGGGACTATACTTCCTTTGTTTCGACATTCACGGTATCCCTGGGGTTGTGTTCTAGCGGAAGGCGATAATGAGCACAATCTCCCGTTGAGGCTCCATGGAGGGTGGGGAGCCGAGGAAGTGAAGATCAGCATTTCGCATGGCAAACAAAACAAAAACCAAGGGTGTGCCTGCCCCCCTAAATGTAGGCAACGATGGCGAAGGTGGAGCTACATGTAGAGCTTCCACTGGACCGAACAATAATGTCAAGGAGACGGATGGGCCCGTCCCCGGTTCCTTGTCATCAAGAGAGTTGATAATGATAATTTTGCAACAGTTAGTCCATTCCTTATTTCTAAGACCATAAATGGTATAATAGGAGACCCTAACTCTGTTAAAAAGATTAAAGCTGGCATATTGGTGGAAACAAAAACAGATGCCCAGTCTCACAGACTCATAAGAATACAGCATTTTACAGATATTCCTGTCACAGTAGAAGCCCACCCAACGCTTAATTCTAGCAAAGGGGTCGTGTACTGCAAAGACCTCTTAAATTGCCCTGAAAGTGAAATTCTCGAGGAACTGAAATCAGAAGGAGTAATACATGTACAGAGAATTAGAGTCAAGAGGGACAATGAACTGCGTGATACACCAAATCACATAATCACATTCAACTCCCCCAGATTACCATCGAAACTTAAATGCGCTATGTATAAACTTGATGTTCGGCAGTATATTCCCCCACCAGTACGCTGCTTTAGATGCCAACGGTACGGCCATACGTCATTGTCTTGCCAAAATGAACAGGTATGCATATGTGGAAAGGAGTTACACATGGGAAGACCATGTGATCGCCCGGTACAGTGCCTAAATTGTCATGGGCCTCACGTGGCTTCATCGAAGGAATGCCCAAGATACAAAACAGAATTGGCTATTCAGAAACTGATCGCTACTGACAAAATAAGTTATATTGAGGCCAAGAAAAAGGTGGTGGTGCATACTCCACAACCAAACGTGTCGTATGCACAAGCCACGCAAAAGAGCCAGGATGATGATATTATCGAAAAGATCATCCCACGTCTGACTAATATCATCCAATCTTCGATTTCTCAAGCACTGAAAGGCAAAGACTTCCATGAAATTGAGCAACCTCAATTCGTTACACCTCAGCCAAAAGTATCACATAGCTTGTCTCTTAGAAACCACAGCCAATCAGATGCCTCTAATCAATCAAAAAGAAAGGCATCCTCACCTGTTGATGGGTCAGATCTCTCTGATGCAAGTCTAACGTCATCTCAGACCGACGACCCAGAATCCAGAAAAGGCAAGCGCGGCTGGCCGAAGGGTAGACCCCGAAAGAGGGCTGCTCCAGCTCAAACCAAGCCAGATCAAATCAACGCAAGAACTAATACTGCGTCTTGTGGACAACCTAATGCTTCAAACCCACAATCTGGAGACAACCAGATTGGAAGCGAACCTAACTGTGATGAACCTGTGATAATAGATAGTTAAAATTTTAATATTTAATTCTATGTTAATTTATTCACCTTAATTTGATATTTGTTTACTTGTCCATGTATTTATATATTTATTTAACATTTACTTTTACATTATTTTCTAACTTTTGGGATAATTTCTCCATATTGTAATTGTAGGAGTTAAACTTTTTAGTACAATATGCAAAACATAATGCAATGGAATTGCAATGGTTGTGTGTCTCATGTGAATGAACTTCGTGTGATGGTTAGGGAGAACGATCCTTTCTGTATTGCATTACAGGAAACCCACTTCCGTCCAGAGACATTTTTCTCTCTTAGAAACTACAATACTTACCGCAAGGATGTCATACCAGACCGCAGAGCACGAGGTGGTGTGGCCTTACTCGTAAAGCAGAATATCATAGCGCAGGAACAGAGACTGGATACGGAACTTCAAGCTGTCGCAGTTCGCATCACAACGCCATTTGCTGCTACATTGTGTAGCTTATACTTACCTGATGGCGATTGGCATATTGATCAGTTGTACAGGCTTCTATCAGAGCTTCCAAGACCAATTATTTTGATGGGCGATTTTAATGCGCACTCACCTTTTTGGGGATCTATGCGCAGAGATATCCGGGGACGAACTATAGAGGAATACATTGATTCATCGAACTTAGTTCTATTGAACTCAGGATCTCCTACACACTTCGATATCAGAACAGCTGGATCCTCTGCTATAGATCTCTCACTATGCTCACCACAACTGGCTACTAGATTATCCTGGAAGGTCTTAGATGATCTCAATTTTAGTGATCACTTTCCAATCATCATAACAACGGATGTCCCCAAACTTTTCTATCCGTCACATAAAAGATGGTTGACTGCGAAAGCTGATTGGAACACATTTTCTGAGCACCTTCGTATCCCTCCTCTAACTGAAGACATTAATATAGCAGTGGACGATATCACACACGCTATAACAGATGCAGCAAAGATTAGCATTCCCATGACATCCGGGACCTCATCTAATAAAGCTGTGCCGTGGTGGAATGAAAACATTCAGAATGCAGTCAACGAGAAGAAAACCGCTCTGAATAGATTCAAGCGCAACCCAACCATGGCCAACATGATCTCTTTCAAAAAACTACGTGCTAAAGCACGAAGGCTCATAAATGAGAGCCAAAAGAAATCATGGGAAACTTATGTCTCGTCCATAACTTCTGAAACACCTATCAAACAGATGTGGCAAAAGATCAATGTTATTGCAGGCAGGAATCCGTTTAGACCCCCAAGCGCTTTGAAGGTAGCTAATTCGGTAATCGAGGATGTTTCTTGCATATGCGACACGTTTGCAGACCAGTTTGAACACGCTAGCAGCAATGCAAATTATGATCCCAACTTTCAGCAGCTCAAACTAAATTCCGAAGCACAGGGAATCAATTTTGACACATCGGAACTACATCTATACAATGCACCATTCTCATATGAAGAACTCGAGTCTGCCTTAGAGAACTGTAAAGACTCTGCACCGGGTATAGATATGATACCTTACTGCATGATTCGAAACCTTCCAAGGTCTGTCAAAACTCAGTTACTACAGATATTCAATAATGCGTGGGTGCGAGGTATATACCCTGATGCCTGGAAGGTTGCCATTATAGTACCCATTCTCAAAGACGGTAAAGACCCTACTTCACCTAACAGCTATCGACCTGTGTCGCTAACCTGCTGCCTGGGAAAACTCTTTGAAAGAATGATAAGTCTTAGACTAGTATGGTACCTAGAACATAACCAGCTGATCTCAAACAATCAGGTCGGCTACAGGCAGTACCACTCCACGGTAGATGCACTCGTAAATCTTGAAAATGCAGTCCAGGATGCATTCATTAAAAGGCAACACCTAACGGCAGTCATGTTTGACCTGGAAAAAGCGTTCGACATGACCTGGCGCTTTGGTATTCTGAAACAGCTCCACGAATGGGGTCTTCGTGGCAATCTCCCAAAACTTATCCAAAATTTCTTGTCTCATCGCTCATTCCGAGTCCAGGTCGGAGACTCCAGGTCCTCGACAAGGAGGTTGGAAAATGGCGTTCCACAAGGATCCGTTCTAAGTGTTTCACTATTCATCGTAGCCATTAACTTCCTGGTTGATAGCACTCCTCCGAACATTCAACCCCTCTTATATGTAGACGATCTCTGCATATTCTCCACCGCCGCACTTGATGGAAACTTTGACCATCTGCAGGATGAAATAAACAGACTAGACTGTATAGCAAGGGATAGAGGGTATTCCTTTTCAGCAACAAAATCGACGTGCATCCATTTTTGCAGACTTCGCACAGCACATCCGCAGGTCTCTCTCACACTGAGAGGACAAACTATAAAAGCTGAAAACTCTGTTAAGTTCCTGGGCATTATTTTTGACCACAAGCTCTACTGGAAGGATCAAATTGAACATCTCACAACTCGTTGTAGAAAATCCGTCAACCTGATCAAATGCATAGGAAATACCCGATGGGGTTCAGACCGCGAAGCTCTCATAAAGGTTTACAAGAGCCTAATCGAGTCTCGAATTGACTATGCCAGAGTTGTTTACAATTCTGCAAGACCATCCAAGATCAAGGCACTTGAAAGGATTCAACTGGCAGCCCTAAGAGCGGTTACAGGGGCTTTTCGTACGAGTCCTTCAAGTGCCGTCCTCTGTGATGCTGCAGCAATACCCTTACAATTAAGAGGTGAAATGCAAACTGCCATCTATATGACTAAAATAAAATCTCTTACCAGACATATTAACCTGAGTATATTGGAAAGCGATAACGAACACACAAATCGTCCAACGTATACACGTCCAGCCAGAATCCGTAGCCTTGAATTCCAACAAGCGAACAACATATCAATAAGGGATGTGCTGCAGAGAGCCCCATACGACACTCCACCTTGGACTAGGTCAAAGCCACATATTGATATTCGCCTTTCTGTATTTCTTAAAAATGAGACAGCACCCCAGGTGTATCTCGCTCGTTTCAAACAAATTACAGATCACCTCCACGATCATCTCTTCATATACTCGGATGGATCTAAGAGCAGTACCGGAGTGGGAGCATCAATAGTAGTTAACAGTGTTTGCCACATGTGGAGCCTGGATCCGATTTCAAGTATTTTCACTGCAGAATGTTATGCCATCTGGCAGGCACTTCTATTCTTTGCATTGTCATCTAGCTTAGCGTGTTCGATAGTATCAGACTCTCTGAGTGTGATCAGCTCCATAGGAAATAACTTCACCAAGGATGAAAGAATAAGTCGAATCTTGAACTTAACCAGCTCACTAGAAAATGACCATAAAAAAGTCCGTTTCATATGGGTACCTAGTCATGTGAATATTATCGGCAATGAATTGGCTGATGCAGCGGCAAAGCAAGCAGCCACCATGCCACCGGATGAAGGCATTCCTACTCCGCTATCTGACTATGTAAAACACTTAAAAGACACTACAAAACAAGCATGGCAGCACAAATGGGACCTATATGACGGACACATGAGATCCGTCCAGACAAGTATCGAAAAATGGACTTATCCGAAGCAACTGAATCGTCGGCAGCAGACAGTCTTATGCCGACTACGAATTGGCCATTGTAAGTTGACCCATGCGTACCTGTTGGCCGGCGATCACAGACCACAATGTCTAGCATGTCAAACAGACCTCACTGTTCAACATATTCTGGTGGAATGTCGACTCTACAGTGATCTCCGCAGGGAACTACAGATGTCTTCCAATATACAAACCCTGCTCAAAACGGAATGGCCAAAAGTTATGGATTTCCTGCTGCGCTCGGATACATACACCAAGATATAGATACTCCTATTTCGTTACGCCTCCAGCCACTTCCACATCAACATTTTACGACGCATTCTCACCTACATCCCATACCTATCTGGTCTTACCTTATTATCCTTGTATCATACTGGACAGCTCTGAAAAATAAAATGGTATACACGTGGATGTCACATCATTAGATAACTGAAGAGGCAGCTTAGCTATTAAAGATTCTCAGTCACATGCGGAGTAAATATTGAACTTGTCTGTATACTATACTTACTGTTATTTATACCATATATGTTTGTCCTGTGTCTTTCTATTTCCATCTCAGATCTACCCCTGAGATGTTAGGTTTGGAAAAAAAAAAAAAAAAAATGACCTAATGAGGCAGGAGGGAAGCGGCTAATGACCTAGAAGTCGATGCCGCTGTGGGTAAAAAAAAAAAAAAAAAAAAAAAATAATAATAATAATAATAATAATAATAATAATAATAATAATAATAATAATAATATAATAATAATAATAATAATAATAATAATAATAATAATAATAATAATAATAATAATAATAATAATAATAATAATAATAATAATAATAATAATAATAATAATAATAATAATAATAATAATAATAATAATAATAATAATAATAATAATAATACTAATAATAATAATAATAATAATAATAATAATAATAATAATAATAATAATAATAATAATAATAATAATAATAACATATAGCTTCGGAATAATCAAGTGGACAGACTCTGACTTAGAGCAGCTAAACAGAAACATAAGAGTCTTATTTACAAATCATAGAGCAAGACATCCCAAGAGTTCGATCGAAAGATTCTACTTGCCAAGATCCAAAGGGGGACGAGGCGTGATTGACCTTAAAGCAGCTAACCTGCGGAATATAGAAAACCTTAGGAGATTCTTTTATAGAAAGGGCGAAACATCTGCATATCACAGAAATATAGCTTCAGCTGACTACAAGTTCACACCACTGAACCTGTCGGATGAACAGTATGAACCTCTAACCCATGTGACCACCGACGAACAATGGTATCATCAATGGAAGTCCAAACAGCTTCATGGAAGACATCCAGCCATGCTCAGCTCAGATCACATTGATGCAGAAGCGTCACATGGATGGCTGAAGAGTGGGGAGCTATTTTCGGAAACTGAAGGTTTCATGATTGGCATTCAAGATCAGGTGATACCAACCTTAAACTATAGAAAATACATCATGAAAGAAGAAGGCATTGAAGATAGATGTCGCATATGCCATAACAAGTCGGAAACAATAGAGCATATCCTGACGAGCTGCACTCCCCTAGCTTCCACTGAGTATCTGAAGCGCCACGACAACGTGGCTAAAATAGTTCACCAAGAATTTGTTATGCTGCGAATATACTAACTGACCGCACCCCATATTACAAGTACCAGCCGACTCCAGTTATAGAAACTAACAGCCATAAAATATACTGGAATAGAACAATTCAAACAGATCACACCATGGAATACAACAAACCAGATATCGTAGTTCAAGATAAAATGAAGCAAGTTACCTGCATAATTGACATTAGTGTGCCTGCCCACATAACATAGCTGACAAGCAGACAGAAAAGGTTCGCAAGTACTTACCATTAGCTGCAGAAGTAAAAAACACTGTGGAATCAAGAAAAAGTTGAAGTCATCCCAATAGTGATCGGAGCCACAGGAGAAATCCTAAGAGTCTACATAAATATATTGAGAAACTAAATCTGCCGCAGAAACTATACCTCTCACTTCAGAAAGCTGCTATCTTAGGTAGTTGTCATATAGCACGCAAGGTCCTGAATGTAGCCACATAGACAAAGAGAAACCAATAGTCACACTCAGACGCTTGCAGTATAATGCCGCGTTTGAGGATACCACCTGCAGTAGCAGAGAATAGCTACATAAATAATAATAATAATAATAAATATAATAATAATAATAATAATAATAATAATAATAATATAATAATAATAATAATAATAATAATAATAATAATAATAATAATAATAATAATAATAATAATAATAATAATAATATAATAATATAATAATAATAATATAATAATAATAATAATAATATATAATAATAATAATATAATAATAATAATAATAATAATAATAATAATAATAATAATAATAATAATAATAATAATAATAATAATAATAATAATAATAATAATAATAATAATAATAATATAATAATAATAATAATAATACCCCGCAGGGGGTATCTACTTTTGAAGCTGGATCTTTGATCCGGTTTCAAGGGAAGATACATGGGGAGCGTCGCCCCCACGGCCCCAGGCAGGGAGTTCGGGGTTTGGTAGCCTTATTCATTCTGCCAAACCCTGGGCTTTTCCTTCCCCCTTTCTCCCATCCTCCTCCTTTCATTATATCCTGTGCAGCTGTCCGCTGCCCTCCCGACTTTCCTTGTCCTTTCCTTACTCCATGCGTTGAGGCGGCGCGTGGAGCTTCCTCTTAGCCTCCCGGGTGTTTGTGCCGTGCCCGGCGACCCGTAAGCTGGCCAATGGAATCCTGGTGGTTGAGCCCTACCAGTCAGGGGGGCAACACGCCACTTTGGTCCGGCGGTCAGTCTAGAAGGGCGGCCGCGCCTAGCCCAGCGTCGGTCAATCGGCTGTGCCATCCCGTCATAGGGCTGGTTGGGCGAGCCTCCACAGGTAGTAGAAGCCAGACGGGAATAGTTCGCTATGCTCGATGTATGGTGGAGCTACCTGTGGGGACTATACCTCCTTTTCCTAGGATTAACGGTATCCCTGGGGTTATGTCCTAGCGGAAGGCGATTATGGGCATAACCTCCCATTGAGGCTCCGTGGAGGGTGGGGAGCCGGGGAGGTGAAGACAAACACAATACTATGGGAGACAAAGTAAAAACAAAAGGTGCGCCTACCTCCTCAAATGTAGGCAAAAACAGCGAAGGTGGAGCTACATGCAGAGCTACCACTGGACACAGTAATATTACCAAGGGGTCGGCTGGTCCTACTCCCCGATTTCTGGTAATAAAGAGAATAGATGGCGATAATTTCATGAAAGTAAGTCCATTTCTGATATCAAAGACGTTATGCGGCTTGATTGGAGAATCCAATTCTGTGAAGAAAATTAAAGCTGGGCTGCTAGTTGAAACAAGAACAGATGGTCAAACATATCGATTGTTGAAGGTAGAAAGTTTTGCTAGTTTTCCTGTTACCGTTGAACCACATGCCTCTCTGAATTCTAGCAGAGGCGTAATCTACTGCAGGGATTTATTAAACTGTTCCGAAGCTGAAATTATGGATGAGCTAAAATCTGAAGGAGTAATAAAGGTACAACGTATAAAAGTAAAGAAGGATAATGAACTACAAGACACTCCAGGCCACATAGTTACATTCAATTCTCCGAACATACCACAGAGACTTAGTTGCGCGATGTACAAACTACCTGTTCGTCAATATATCCCACCCCCTGTACGCTGTTTCAAATGTCAACGGTACGGCCATACCTCGATATCATGCCAAGAGGAACAAATCTGCATTTGCGGTAAGAAAATACACACTGGAAAATCTTGTGATCAGCCCATAAAGTGTGTGAACTGCAATGGTCCTCACGCAGCAAACTCCAAATTATGTCCAAGGTATAAGACAGAATCAGCTATACAGAAAGTTATTACTATCGAGAAAATGAGTTATGCTGAAGCTAGAAGGAAGGTAGTAATCCCTACCCCGCAAGCAAATTTATCATATGCACAAGCATCTCAGAAGCGCCCAGACGATGAAATAATAGAGAAGATTATACCACGTCTAACAGCTATAATTAGAACGTCGATCTCGCAAGCCATAGAAAACAAAGCAGTATGCAGCAGCACACCCCAGCAATTTGTCGCTCCATTGCCAAAGATAAGTCATGGGATTGCGTCTAGAACTAGAAGTCAATCAGATGCTTCTAACTCGTCTAAAAGAAAAGCTACATCTCCTGTAGATGGATCGGAACTTTCTGATGAAAGTCTCACCTCGTCTCAGACTGACGATCCAGAAGCAAAAAAGGGTACACGAGGCTGGAAAAAAGGCAGACCTCGTAAAACAAATAAAACCGCACTGTTTCAGTCGGAACAACCCGTTCAGAGTGATGATACAGAGCGTCCCAATCAACAGAACTCCGAAACTGAGCAGTTGTCGGAGACTGTGATACTTCTGTGATAAAATTAACTGTGATATTTTGATAAACTTATAATGTACTTTTCAATTTATTTACTTGTTTATTCATTAATTTATTTACTTATTTATTTGTCTATTTATATATATTTATTTATTTATTTAGTCCCTCACCTATTTGCTTATTTATCTCTCATCATCTATATACATATGTAAATATCCTTAATCTTCTCCTGAACCTTGCGTGTATAAAATAAATCTACTCTACTCATGCAATCCATCGTCCAGTGGAATATTAATGGGTGTGTTAATCACTATCCAGAACTGAAACTACTCATGCAGGAGAAAAAGCCCTTTTGTCTCTGTCTTCAAGAGACCCATTTCTCTCCAACCACGAAATTTCAGCTACGTGGGTTCAAATGTGTAAGAAAGGATGATACGCCGCAAATCCGTGCCAAGGGCGGCGTGGCAATATTTCTGGATGTAAATATCCCCTTTACAGAGGTCAACATCACATCCGAGCTTCAGGTTGTTGCTGTTCAACTAATAGTA